TCCAAAACACCCAAAGTTACCTTCTATACCAGATATGCGAAGTGCATGTTGATGGAAAACTCTCCTCCCGCAGATGTGGAAATTTGTTTTTATGATGGTATGTACTCTTAAATTGTTTTTTTGTTAAAAGCTTGTTTAAAATGAGGGCTGCTAGTTAGTACAAATGCTACTGGATTGTACACTCAGTTACACTCATATCCATATATCAACAGGATTGCATTTCTACTGAAGTTAGCTCTCATTGAGGTACTGCTTTTGATCTAGAACCATATGAAATGGTCTGTTGGACAACTACTTGTATATTTATAGAAATGTTTTTTATAGGGGCAAAAATACACAAGACAGCAGGTGTAATTCGAGTAATAGAAAAATCTGGGAAAGCCTACACCCTAAAAGAAGAAAGTGATTTAGAGAAGGATGTGCAAATATATGTCGATCATGCAAATGAGGTAAATTTTACTTGTAACTCAGTTTTTAAATTGCTAATTACCTTTATTGTATTACAGAGTATTCTGCAGAGCGCAGAAGCTTGTCTGCTGTTTTGTGTCATTGTGGTTGGTCGTACTAAAATGTATTATATTGCTTTTGGATTTTGCTTTGGACCTGCAGCAATATTCTTTTGAAGATATTCAGGAGCTAATTAAAAAAAAGATCAAGGAAATTTGACTTATCTAATAAGGAATGGAGTACTGATTGATCTTTACACTGATCAGGCCTAGTGTTAATAGTAGGAAACTAAAGAAATATCTTTTTCAGTTTAGAATGTGTCTGCTTTTTACAGTTACTGCCCATTTCCTTTTTCATGGAGTGCTACATTCTTGCTTCTCTTTGAAGTGTTTAACACATTTTAATGTAATGTCTTTAACTTTTAAAACGGAGGGTCATCGAATTTGCCTTGCAGTGGAATCTGCTGTTTTGGCGGAAGAAAGAAATGAAAGTGTTCCATTTTTCCCCATTATTGTTGGCAGGTGAGTTAAGTGTTCAGAATATTTCTATTAAAATGTATTTCACTTTCCAAGGGAATCTGCAGTTTCAGCTTTCCTATGTTCTTAATTGAAGCAGAAAAGTTGAATGCATGAACTTAACTCTTCTTTGGTGCTGTTTGGTGTAGTGGTTAAGTGCGTGGACTCTAATCTGGGAGAACCGGGTTTGATTCCCCACTCCTCCACTTGCACCTGGCTGGATGACCTTGGGCAAGCTGTAGCTCTCTGATAAGAGCTGTTCTTGAAAAAGAGCAGTTTCTGTCAAGAGCTTTCTCAGCCCCACCTATCTCACAGGTGTCTGTTGTGGGGAGGGGAAGGGAAAGGAGTTTGTAAGCCACTCTGAGACACCTTCAGTAAATATGTAACTTTGGGTAGTGAAGGGCAGAGTATAAATCCAATCTCTTCTTCTTCTTCTGTCCATTACCAGAAAACCAGGAAATTCTGAGTCTCCAAAGGCTTTGCTACCACCTCCTGCTATACCAGGTACTTGCCCTTCTTTGAATGATGTTGCTTCACTGAAGGGAAATTCTGCTGCCAGATCCAAATCTCCCAGTCAAGCACCTCACCCATCTGTAAGTAAATAAGCTTGTAGATCACACTCTTATTTGGATCATAAAAAGTCTCCTGCAAATATATATTTTTTTGTCAACTAGAGTCAAAGGAAGCTGCATATTTTAACTAGGAGTAAAACAAATCAGCTTTGTAGAAGAGAGGCAACGTGTGTTTTAATATTGGAAATATCTTACAGGGGTATAACTCAAGGTTATAATGTTGTATATTTGTTCACCTTCTAGATGGAGTCATATGAAGGATCTGCATTTAAAGCAGCAATGACGGAGTCAAACTGCCTACCCACTCACCAAAATGAGTGTGTTGTAAATTCAGCTCAACTCCTGAAGTCTGTCTTTGTAAAAAATATTGGTTGGGCCTCTCAGGTGAGTTGGTTATCAGTTACTAAGCAGTAAAGTCACAGTTTACTGGATTAAAAAAAGGGAAATCATAGGAAATCGACGAAACTGTATCATGAGAGGGCTTGGCATGATGTGGTCCATGTGAAAGCCAGTGGAGGAGTAATGCAGCAGTTCCTACACTAAAGAGTAAACACTGTTGTTAGGAACACACAGGTCAGCTCTAATCCCTGTCCTGAGGTCTCGTTTCTTAATTGCCTCACCATTGCTGCAGATCATGATAATATCTTAATGGTGTTAGCTACTTAATTGTGAGTTTAAATATACTTTTTTGGCAATGAAATATGGAAATTCTTTTCTGTAATTTGTAGATTAGTTTTGTAATTGTGCACATTAAAATACCCATCAGTTTATGCTACCAACTTTTCTAAAAAGAAATAAAATTGAAATCAATTACTTTTCCTAAAATTTGCCACTGTTTGAATCATTTTAGTTATGAACCCTCCTCCTTTTTCTTTTTTGATCAGCTAACAAGTGGAGCTGTGTGGATTCAGTTTAATGATGGATCCCAGTTGGTAGCTCAGGCTGGCGTTTCTTCCATCACATATACATCTTCAGATGGTCATACTGTTCGGTGAGTGTGTTTCAGTAAATATGTAACTTTTATTTTTATTATTTGCATAATTTTTAATTTTGTCTCATAACTTTCAGCACTTATGAAATGTCTGTATACCAGTGAGGTCCACTCTAACAAAACCAAATAATGGAATAGCTGAGATGTATATGATAAGATATTGGCTATATTGTGTTCAAGTTGGTAATCCAGACACTGCAGTTAATAAAGGAAATCTTCCATCCTGGTCAGTTTCAAAAAGCCTTCATTGGGAACAGAGCCACAGCAAACTTGAATACCTGGTTCAGTACAGAGCTCATGTATTAAGAGGGAATCACTGTAACTAGGGGTTTTCCTCTATGATTTGCAGTTACTCGTACAATTGCAAAGTTACTTTCTGTGCTTATGTATAAAGAGGCTGGTTTCCATTCTGACTTCAAGTAGCAAAACTAGGCTGCTCACAGACAAAATATGTAAATCTTCATACTTGAGATTCCAGTAGTAGGCAGGAAAAATGACCTGGTAGATTAATCAAAGCTGCATTCACATGAACCTAGTTTATTGCTGTGCACTTGGACAGGTCTCGCTCCATGCTTACCTTACAGATACTGAGGCCCCCTTCTTAGAATTCAAGTTCGTGGGATGGGGGAAATTAAATATGGCAACCCATGCAGCTGCTTGTGTACACCACTGCAACTATTTTCTAACTGGGATTCTCTGTGCAGGGAGGGGAGGAATGAGGCAAGAGCATGGCAATAGCCTTGTTTGGCACATACATCCTTAAAAACTAGCCTGATGAGGGCAAAAGAGGCTTTAGAAAGAGCAGAATGTGAAGTTTCTGACACTAAACGTTGGGGTACAGGGAGAAATCAGCATGGTGAAACTTGGAGGGAGAGACTTTGAAGTAGGAGGTTGGGGAGAGCTAGGTTGGTTGAACCCAAGATCATTTTGGGGGGTAACATCTCCTGAGTTGGAACTTCTTGTAAATTAAAGGAACATGACCTTCATGCTTGCTCCAAGGCAGCAAACAAGAAAATGGGGGCAATTCCTCTGCTAGGATTAGCATTCTCAATATGGAGGTGTAGCAAATGCTACTTTTTCAATCCACAAGGTAACCATTCACTTTATAGAGGGGGTCCATGTGACTGTGCTTAAGCCCCTAAATTCAGTACCAGAGTGTGAAAGTGTGCTAACCTTTAAAAAAAATTAAGTTGAGAAGCACTGGCTTTAACCCTAATCAGTGTTAAACCCTATTGGATTCTGGTTGCGATGAAGTAGGAATCTGCAGTAGCGTTAACCAGATCAGGCTGGTGCAGTCATTTCCCTTAACTATGAATAAAATCAAAGAGCAGAAGGATAGAATTGCATTAAGTTTCTTAACCTTGCTGCCATAAAAATGTGGCTCATTTTATCAATGTTTGTCCCAGGTATTCTCTTATTGTTATGTTCATCTGAGCTATTTCTTTCTGATAGGTATGGAGAAAATGAGAAATTGCCTGAGTACATTAGAGAAAAGTTGCATTGTTTATCTTCCATTCTGGTGATGTTTACCAATGAAGTGGGACCTCACTGAAGCTACTTGGATATAAAAGCTTAATAACTAACTTAATGAAGCAGAGCTTCCTATAGTCAGACCTGCCTTCTTACCTGGAAGAAACCGAGGGTGATGACAAATTGCTGTGTTCTGCTTAGCTAAGCACTTCTAAAACTTTTCATAAGTGTGGTCAATTAAGTAAAATTGCTTGCATTTTTATATAATTGATTAGGGGAAATCACTGACCATCATACTTTTCCAGGTTAAAGGAGGCTGAACTGTACACCTGTGTTCTGTATTGTTCTGACAATTCTAGTGTCAAGAAAATACATCTCTGCTGTTGCAGTTTTTGTACCTGTAAATACCTTGTATTTTGTGTGGTTTTCAAGTAATATGTAAAACTGTACTGTTTTATAATTCTTTTATATTTTATTTTTGTAACCATTTCTAATGAAATATTCCTGCAAAAGCTTAAAAAAATAAATGCAGTGATATCTGTTGAGGTGCTTTGTTTCATGTAGCACAAGTTTCTATGATGTGCTCCTATAAAATAATTGAACAAACTGTTCCTCTGAAGTGTAACATGTTCATGTTTCTCTTTCTGAACGTTTTGCTTTCTTGGACTCAAAGTGAAAAGGCAAGGGAAATATTTTTTGAAATCCCTCTTATACCTACAATGCTAAAGTAGTGTAGCTATGGATATTATTTGTCCAAACAAAGCTACTGCTCTAGTTTTAGGCAGACCGGACATAAGAAGTGACTTAAACTTACAGACTTAGTAAAAAAAACTATTTGCCTTTCAGGTAGATAGCTATGGTCCTCTTTGGAGTGGTATTATAAAAACATCTAGTCCTCTCTATGTATATTACCAGAACAGCCATATTTTTAGTGATTCTGTATTAAATGGAGACCTAAACCACCGTAATAACTACATCACACTCTAGGAAATACCAGCTGTTTATGCAAATATAAAATCTCTACAGTTTCTAAATTTCCATTTAGACAGGACTTTAAGTTCAGTTGGAGTAATCTCTTCAGTGTTACAGGGCAGCTTGCAGACATACAAATATTACACAATCAAGTGTTTAATAGTCTTAAAAATGAAATGACTGTATGTATTTGAGTCAAAATTAGAACAGGAAAAACAATGAATTAAAATGCTTGTGGTTTTCTACAATGGCTCATTCATCTATGCTTTAATTGTGAAATGAGTATATTAACCAGCCTTCAGTATGTATTCCTCTGTGAATATCATAGATTGAGGTCTTTAAGCTATATATTTGTTAAGCAGTTTTTTACATCATAAACAGCTCATTATGCATAGTTAATATTACTATACCTTAAACTAACTATGTAGTCTAAGGGGTTATTTTCATGAACAGATTTGCCCTTATCTACATTAGCAATAATATTTTGGCGAAGTGCAGTGCTTCAGCAGTTTGGGTCTGCATCCCAGTGGTTAAGGAACAATAAATCACAATGACTGAGCAGGGGCCAGTAGGGTTAAATGAAAAACAGGGAAAGGGATGCAAAGACAAGTGGTTGATAAATACATTTTGAAATAATTCTGTAAGAACAGAAGATTAAAAGCGAATCCTACTTCCAACTGTTTCTTTTGTATATGATATAGATGGTTAAGATAATCTACAGGTATTTCAAGATTTTATTCACTGTAGCAGAGCCTGCTGTACTATAAAGTAGAGAAGAGGTAGGTGATTACAAAAGTGCATAAGACAGCTATTTCAAGTTCAACATGAATACCAAACTGGTACAATCTGATTCACGGAATCAGTGCACTTGAGAGTATCCCCAGTAACATATTTACCTAAAAGGAAGCTGACCCTGAATTTAAGAAACCCCTTCCCCTCAATAAAAGGCTATTACTGTGCATACCTTGTATGCAAATTAAAAAATGGGCAAAGAATTTGTCTTCCTTGCAGGTAAACAGGGTAACTACAGATCAAAGAGTATCATCTCTCAAAACATCGTTTCTTTACCCTCTATGATCACAGCCTATTATGTCCAGTATTATATCCTACTGACAACTTGATTAATAGACTTAATTAGTAGTAGTACATGTAAAACCCTGGTTAGTCAGAAGTGCAATGCCATAGCTCCTTGGATAAGGGCAATGATACATTAATAAAAGACTGGTCAGTAGTTCCCCATATCTAACAACTCTGTTCTTGGAGCCTCCCATATCGGACAGAAAACGCAACAAGTCTCTTGTACACCACTTCCAAGAGTAAGAGAGAGAGAACAACAATTCCACAAATTAGGCTGAATGCCCAGCGAGGTCCCAAGTGTGTGTAGAGCTGGCTGACAAATACTGGCCCAAGTATACGTGCGCCACTTCCACAGGCAGTTAGCCAGCCCATATAGATTCCCTAAAACAGATCACAGGGCTGTGGTTAGGATATTTGTTTAACAGGCTCCTTCGCTTTTCACTACTAAAACTGAGTAACTTTGGGGCAATGCAGACATTTAATTACATATTAAACATTACAGTATGATCAACATTCCATCATACATATTACATTGTCTTTCTGTAGGTACTGTAGCTGGACAACCAGCATATATAGTAGAGTACCCGACTAGGATCTGGCAGTCCCAGGTTCAAATCTACATCCAGTCTGTCACTCTTACAAAGAACCTGGATCCCACCAGAATAAAAACAAAACCCCCATCTCTCCCGTCCTGAAGGACACAGGCATTCTGTTGTTACTACTAACATGCTAAAAGGTTACAGATAAATAATCTGTGTCACGTAACAGCAGCAGAGGAGATGGCATGTCACATTTGCAGGTGGACATGAGAAGTAAGGGAGTGAATTCTTAGTAATTGTTATGAAAATCCTGTGTCTCACCAGTGACACAGGTAGTATTGGTTGAGAACCACTGCTCTAGCTAGTGCATACTGAAATCTGTCTTGCACCTGTCGTCTCATAATCTGATCAGTCACCAATCCTCCATTTTAAAAAAGCTACAATCTGCAGAATTTGGGGTTCTTTTAACATGACCTGTTATTTTTCTTTCCCCCCCTCTCAGCCTAAAGGAGTCCTGGAAAGCTCAAAGGCTCACTATTTTATTCGATTTGGTTGGTCCTAGTAAAAATGTTGTATTGTTCTTACAAAAAGAAATGTAAAGTTTAAAACTTACCTGAGGCCTTGGTCCTAAAATTTTTGAATATAAAGTATATGACATAACATTACAGATTGGATAACCCAGTCCTATTAGAATGTCTGCAGTAATGTACTGGCCCAAGTTGATCACTGGAGTATGTAAACACCAGGACTGTACAATGGGACATCCTGTTGCTTCAGTAATATTATTTGATGGAGGCGGCATTTGCACTCTCCAAAAAGATGCAAGGCTTCCAGTGAAAGCTGTTGTTGTAATAGAGTTATTCTTTATCTCTGTGAAAACAAAGAAAAAATGCCATGTACAGGTATTTGATAGAAACCTTAAACTATAGTTTAAATATGTATACTTGTACCTTCCCACTGGATATTAGGTAACTTATTTCCCCAAGGTAATAAGATAAAGAATCCAATCAGTATAATAACTAGGCCTCCATAAAGTATAGCACGTTCACCAGTCCTGTTGGATAAACAAAAGCTAATTACAATAATACCCATACGTAAGAAAAGTAAATCTTTCTCTATATTATAAAGCTAATTTGGGGTGACCATGCTCGATGTGCTCCCTCAGCCATAGGCTGAGGCGGCCGCCACTCATGCCGGGGATGCTGGCCACTGGCCGCGGTCTCTGCCCCCGCCCACAGAGGCGCCGCCGGAGTGAACGTGCCCTGCGATTTGAAGAGAGAGCTGCTTTGGCGTGGCCACACTTGATGCGCTCCCTCAGACATAGCCTGAGCCAGCTGCCACTCACGCCGGGGACGCTGGCCATGGTCTCTGACGTCTGCCCACAGATGCAGCGCTGGGGCAAACGTACCCTGCAATTCGAAGACACCGTGGCGGAGTCTCACCCCGCCACCCAAACAGCCGCCATGTTCATCCTCTCCCCAGCGCTCATAGCCAGCCGGGCTGCGTGTGGCCCGACGACGGATGGGCTGCGCACGCCAAGCCCTCTCCTGCCACCGCCACCCTCGCATGAATGCGCGTCGTCGCTTGGCCTCTGTGCGATCTGACGACAGGTCGCCTGGCCGTTCAGTGGGGGGGGGGGCTTGCCCCGATCCTGCCGCCGCCCTCACCCAAGCCCGGCTACAGGCTACTCTGCGCCTAAACGACGGCCACCCCATCCCTCCAGCGTGCAGGGTCTGCCTCCGGCCATGCCCAATCCTGCTGCCACCGCTGCCGACTACATACAGCTGGCTGGTCTCTCACTGGGCAGGAGCCGGCGCGCTGCCAGCCCTGCGGCTTCTGGAGGTCACTCAGCCATTCCCTCGCCTCCCCCCCCCCCACTCTGGGGGGTTGTGCGGGGGGAGAGATCGGGAGACTGGGGGTGCCTCCATCGCACTGTGCTACAGCCCATTGTCTTCCTTCACAACGGTCTTGGCTCCTAGTCTATACATAATGCACACATTTAAAGTGCTTAAAATAGGCTAAAAATATTTATCCAAAGACAATTTATGAGTTAGAATGTACAAAACCTTTTGAGATTAGGAAAAATGCATAATAACATAGCATCTCTTTAGTGACTTACTTTTTGGAAAGTATTTTAACTCCTAAAAATGCAAAGACTGACTCAATGCCAATAGCTCCAAGGATAAGTCCATTGATAAACACTGCTTGTTTTCTGGTCCAGGAATACATATCCATTGTCAATGGTGTAGCTATGCTAGGAAAAAAGATAGTAATATCCTTAATTGGTTGACAAGGGTGAAATAGTTTGAGGGATTTAAAAGGACATCTTAATTTCCCAGTTACAGCTAATTGCACTGGAAATAATAATAATAATAATAATATACTTTATTGTCATTGTACATAGTACAACGAAATTAAGGTGCAATCATTCGGTGATCTACAAGCATACTCATATACACTCACACAACCATACTCAAATTGTGAAAACTGTACACATACATTCACCCTAAACATGGCACGGAAAACAAAACCCAGAGAACATAACAGGGTGCATCAAAATAGAGAGAAAAATGAGTACTGAGGAAAAAACAATTGCCCATTAAATGTCAATGTCAGAAGAGAAGCGTGGAACTCTGTACTGCTCCACAGCACAACTGGACAAGATACAAGAGACTCTTGAACAGATCTGCAGACATCTCTAATTTTAATTAAAAGCAGTTGGGTGGAACATTGGGAGGATCAGGCCAGAACTTTAGGACAGGTTAATTCTTTTCCCCTTGGCTTAGATCCCACCAAGTCACAGAGAGCCAGATTGATGCAGTGGTTAAGAGCGGTGAACTCTAATCTGGAGAACCGGGCTTGATTCTCCACTTCTCCACATGCAGCCAGCTGGGTGATCTTGGGTCTGTCACAGTTCTCTTAGAGCTGTTCTCTCAAGAGCAGTTCTCTCTCAGAGCTCTCTCAGCCCCACCTACCTCACAGGGTGTCTGTTGTGGAGGGAGGAAGAGAAAGAGACTGAAAGCTGCTCTGAGACTCCAAGTGAAGGGCAGGGTATAAATCCAATTTGTGTTCTTCTTCACCAAAAACTCGGATCAAACTGACTCAGCAAAGTGTGTGTAGAATGATAATTCTGCCCTCCAACCTTCTACAACTCCAGACTACGTTTATTCCTCAACCTTAATAACATCAACCACCCTGTAGTGTTTCATGCTTCCACACTTACTTGTAATCTTTATAAATTGCCATGTACACTCTGATGGCACTAGGAACATTTTACCCCAATTGCACATATATCGTGGAATACATATAATGCAGGGTGGGTTACAGAAGCAGCATTTTGTCAATTTTCTTATATTTTCTCCCAAATTATTGCTGCTGTTATTTCCAATACTGACAAAAAGAAATACTTCATAAAGGGTTATTTCTTATTTCTTGACAGCTACTGTCATGCTCAGTGCAGCTCCCAAGATTATTACTTCTATGACTTACTTGGAACCTATTTGATCCCCACACTTGATTAGCAAAGTACACTGATTGTGTAAGAGATTTATTAACCCATGTAGGTCAAAAAGGCAGGCAACCGGTCTTTACCCCCCACCTCCAACCAGGGCCAACAGCAGTTTTGTACAGGCTACTGAAGTTGCACAAAAACATGCACTGTTTACTAGAAACATCAAATACACTTACGTTTCAAAGACTGCAAAAATAAATAATATGACAAAGAAAAGAATGTTTGCTGATACAACAGCCACAAGGTCAACGCTTTCTTGACTATCCTCACCAGCCTCATCATTTTCTGGAACAAAACAACAACAAAAGGGCTTATATGTTAAACTAAATTGATCATTCGCTTTGTTTCTTAACTACACAGATATGCTACTGTGACCTTTCCAGGAAGAGTTTTTTCTTCTTATTAAAGGATGTATTTACATCTTCCTTGGAAATCATACTTCAGTTTTGCAATAAAAGCAAAGGTTGCACATGCTAATCTGTAATTTGTGAGAACAAACGTAAGTAAATCAAGGCCAAATGGGGCTCCCTGCAATATATTTCTACAGTTGGGCATGCAATGAAAAAACAAAAAACCTACACATTTACTCTACACGTTATAGAACAGATAGTTAACATGTATCTGGTTTGTACTGCAAAGCCTCATAACACATTTAATCCTTTTCACCATATTTCCTGAGCATCTTTTAATGATACTGTAATTGATATTTTTATCACTGTATACATATTTATAAGTCAGCATGATTATGAATGTCAGACCAGGATCTGGGAGATCCGGGTTCAAACCCACACTCTGCCATGGCACCTTGCTGGTGACCTTGGGCCAGCCACATATTCCCAGCCTAACCCCCCTCACAGGATTGCTGTGGGGAGAAAATGGAGGAGGGGTTGTAAGCCACTTTGTGTCCCCTTTGGGGGGGGGGAAGTGGAGTATAAATGAAGTAAATAAAAATAAATATTTGTATAAGTGTAAGGTGTTTTATATTTGGGTTAAAATACAATACAAAGTATTTTGTAAGTTCCAACAAAGACTACATCTGACTCTGCTGTATATACTGTTAAGACTATTACTTATTGTCTAAAAAAGGGATAACCATTTGCCATAAGAAACACTCCAGGCCAGGTATTCATCTAGCTGAGGGTACACTATGCACAACAAGAAGCAAATGTACACACTCATAATGGATAAGCACTACATAAGTATATTATTGTGGCCATTTGCTATCATTACTGCTTGCCTGGTTGCAAGCCATCAGGCCCAAAAAATGCAGTGGCAAGCAGGAGGGACTTTTCTCATACGCTCACTTCTCTTTCTGCAGAAAGACGCATCCACAGAAAGGGATCATTAAAGCTCATGGCTACTTCCATTTTACAGGCAGCCACACAAAACCAAGTTGGGTTTTGAGCCCCACTCCAAATCTAATTAGCTATATTAATTCTATAAAAATGTGTTGTGCTAAAAAAATGTGTTAGCCGTCTACCAACTGGACATTAAGTACATCTGTAAATCACAGAAAATTACATACCTTTACATACTGCCAGAAAAATGTGTGTAATGTTAATATTTTGAAAAATGGAACCAAAGGTGACTTAAAAAAAATCACCCACCCATTTGTTTCTATTAATATTCCAAGGTGTGCCACAATATTTTATTTCAAACTCTCCACAAAAATATTACCTTCTGTTTCAAAATTAATGCTTCTGTATGGTCTTCCTGCATCATCCACTCGATGTTCTCTAAAAATTAAACATCAGTTCATTAAATACTTTTTGTGTAACAAAGCAGGTTTTAGCATGTAAACAGGAGGTGGTGCAGAAATAACAACAACCACAGCAGAGGCCCCACAAGGACTCATGTTGAGCATTTCATTTTGCCCTGTATCCCCCCTTGCCACATTATTTTCCCTATGCCTCACCTGACAGACTTTCTCTTTTTCCCTGCTTCCTTCCGTATGAACCCAACAACAAACCGTCTTTTATATGCCTCTCCACCCCTAATTTTATTTATGTACTTCATTTATATCACACTTTTGCCCTCAATGGAGACCCAAAGTGGCTGACAACATTCTTTCCTCTCCATTTTATTCTCACAGTATCTGTGAACAGGTTAGGCAGAAACTGTGTGACTGGCCCAAGGTCACCCAGCAAGCTTCCATGACACAGTGGGGATTCAACCCTGGGTCTCCCAGATCCTAGTCTTCAAACCAGTACATCAGTGCTGGCTCTCCAGCTTTCCCGACTCCCCTCCTAAAAAAGGATCTGACCTTCAAACAAGTGCCATAGCAGAGAGTTCTTATTAACAACCATTGGCGATCCAGATTGTTAATCAGAACTGTTACCTTATAATGGTGCCAAAAAGCAGCCTTCAGATCTACTGAGGCAGCAAATACACAACTGTTCAACAAATACAAGCTCCTCTCTAAAATAATTCATACAAAATAAGTGTATATACACCATTTCCTTGCCTCTCTCCTAGTCAGAGCAAAACAAAATAGGACACAGCAGCAGCATAAGAAAATAACTATTAAAAATAGGAGCTGCGGTGGCTCAAGTGGTTAAGCTGCAGGTTGTGGAAGGTCGGTAGTTCAGCAGTTCGAGACCCGAGTGTGCTGCATGACGGAGTGAGCTCCCGTCTCTAGTTCCAGCTCCTGCCAACCTAGCAGTTCGAAAGCAAGAAATTGCAAGTAGATAAATAGGTACCACTTCAGTGGGAAGGTAACAGCGTTCCATGCACCTTGGTGTTTAGTCATGCCGGCCACATGACCACGGAAATGTCTTTGGACAGCGCTGGCTCTTCGGCTTTGAAACGGAGATGAGCACCGCAACCCTAGAGTCGGATTCGACTGGCTTTCGAGCAAGGAAACCTTTACCTTACATATTAAAATACAAATTAAAAGCAAACACTGATACAACCACAGTCTCCAAAAAAAGTGCCATAGTTTCCAATTACCTAAACACTGCAAATATCAGAACAATGTTAATAATTCCTAGGAGAGCTCCAAATAAAACTGGTGCTGTATACATGTTCACCTGAAGCTTAATGATTTTCCATGTGACTCCTTTTTCTCCAATGAGAGTAAAGAGGGTCTGTAAAACTAATATAAAATAACAGAATTACTTAGAACAAGACTTAGTGGGTATACTCAAAGACAAAATAGGCAAAGCCTTTGCTTTATTTGACTAACAGTCACATTTCTGTAATGTGCCTAGTACTAGGGTACAAAGAAAAAAACTGAAGCGTGCACGAGTGTGCATGTACATACACAAACAAATAAATGCAGAGTAGGAATACCTGAATCCAATCTTACAAATAAGTAAGTACCACCTGGCTGCACACCCAGAAGTGGTCTGTATTATTTTAGGAGTCCATCGGGATGTATAGAGTGCCAGTCTCTGGCTATTTTTCCTGCCTGGTATATAATTATGCATTAGGTGAAAAGAATGATCTTGGTAGTGGGAGGAACTTGGGAGTGTTTTATTGATACGCAAATTCTACTCCTGCTCTTTCCAGCAGAATATAATCTCAATCAGCTGTTTTATTACTTAAACTGACTTCAAAAATTCAGTCAGAAGACTTGAATTTACAAAATAATGCTACTCAAACCATGTTTTTAAACTATCATATTTACATGTGTAATTACTGTGCCTGCATGACAATTTGTTTATTTTGCGTAAGACAACAGACAAATTAAACATAAACATAAGAATGAATACCGTAACAAAGTATTACTAGATCAGAATGCCAGATTCCCTCATTTAATCAGAATTCATTTGGAAAGAATGGAGCTATGATGCAAGTTGTACCTGGTCCCAGTATGAATCCCACTGCTTGGCAAGCACTAGTGTTTGCCATGGCACCAGTTCTTTCTGTAAGAGAGGTAGCACCAGCGACATAAGATCGAACCACTGCTACATTTCCTTAAAAAAGAAGAAATAAAGTGTTTACTTGATACTCACAACATACTCTAAATCCCATTTACCTACATAATCCAACATTGCCAGAGTCATTATTTAAACTTCCTGCACTGTCGTTCATATGCTTGTTTTGCCTGCTTACTACACAAAACTTCAACAGATCTCATAAACCTGTTAAAAGCCACAGAACTGCAAAGGGAAGCTTGGTCCTGCACTGCTCATTCACTAATACAACCAACACATTGTGACTGACAGAACTTTTCAACATCTCTAATCTGTTCTGCTGTACAGTTCAACTAACCATACCCGTCACAGAGTTTCTGAGGTCTGAAACCTAAAGTAGAAGTAGGTTCTAATAATGCAACTACACCTGCTTTCCCCTAATGTGTTCTCATGCCAAGTCCATAAAGCAATATAACTCAATCAGCTTTTTTAGGCCCTTTGATATCATAGTGGATCTTGATTACTTTTGTGTGCTATTTCAGTACTGCACCTTCCAGCTTGCCAATGGCTCACCACAAGAAACCTACAAAGTCAGACAACTGTTAGCACTGAGATAATGGAGAAGCTTTTTTACCAGATAGTAACTAATTCCCACAGATGCTTATAGCATTTTGACTATCCTAATACTGTAAGACTTTAAATGTTATAAACAAATCACTTGCCTTCAATTTAAACACTTTTAAAATTACCTGCGCCAAACCCCACCAGCGCTCGAGCAACCACCATGTAGTATTTGTTGTGTGATGCAGGCAAATGGACATAGGCATAGAGACAGTTAGCAGCCACTGAAATACTAGTTGAAACTACAAGAGATTCTCTTCTTGGCCTATAATTGGACCACACTCCAAAGAAGGGGGAAGCTATCATTTGACCAATGCTATAGGCAGCAATAATCCAGCCCAGGAAACTTGCGTCTGCGGTTTTATCTACCTATGGAAAGAACAAAAGCAATGTGAAGTGCTATGACATGTTATTCATCACATCTCAGCAACACTTTCAGAAACCCACGACACAAGAAGAATAAATATCACATCAGATATTCTACTACTAATACGTGGTGAGGTTAATTAATTAATTATTTGATTTATACCCCCTGCCCTCTCCGCCGAAGCAGGCTCAGGGCGGCTTACATAAATAGATATCTGTCAGCTTGAACAGGAACGGCATTTTAAGATGACAGCAAATTACCTACCAAGGCCCCATTCTATAACAAATTATTTAGTGAGGATCTGCAAAGTCATAGAAGAACCTTAGTAAATCACTGCAGAAGCATGGGGATTTTTTTGCCATCAAGTCACAGCTGACTTATGGCGACCTTGTAAGGTCTTCAAGGGAAGAGATGATCAGAGATGGTTTGCCATGGCCCGCCTAGCAACCCTGGACTTTCTTGGTGGTGCCCCATCCAAATACTAATCAGAGCCAACTCTGCTTAGCTTCTGACGAATCTGATGAGATCAGGCAAGCCTGGCTATGGCAACGTTATGAGAACGTCTCCGAAACACTGCCCTTTGTGTCTGTATTCTTGAAAGTAGTTGGAAAATATAATTTTATCTTCTCTTGTGCAGTAAATGTAGATTTCCAGCATAAACTAGAAATTGTCGAAGGCATATGACTGCTAAAGATGACTTATCAGGTGGTTATATCTAGTAGCTTCATTTACTAGTTATATCCAGAGGACAACTGAGAATTATCAATCTTATAAAAGAGGTTTGGGGGATCTTTTCACCTTTGGATGTTACTATGCTGTTCGCATACTTGGAGAACCTAAAATTGAATTTGCAAGCAAAAAGTACCTTAACTCTGCTTTCCCACGTGGCTCTATTATAACCTTTCCCTTGCCCTTAAAGTAGCTTTGCACGGGGTACTGCTGCTTGTCCAAATTTCAGCTGGATGGCTCAATTGAGAGAGAGTGTGTAGTGTAGTTCTTAGAATATTGGCCTACAATCTGAGAGACCTGGTTTCAAATCCCTACTTGGTCATGAAGGGCTCTGTGGAATTCATGCCAGAACATTATCTCCATGGACACAGAATTACACCCAGCTGTATATTATTTAAGAATAAAATGAGGAAACAGAACGCTTGATTTGTATATCGCTTTTCACAAGAAGCATACGTTGTACATTTTTGAATTTAAGAGGAAGCCTACGTGCACCTTTAATTTCTTATACTGATCTGGTAAAATCCCTGTGCAGATTCACCCAAAAATTCTGAGTAAATTAACTGTAGTAACATTTTCATTTTAATAAGAATGACTAAGTTTTTTTAAAATACTCTTTTAATTCCACACAATATATACAGTGGTCTGAATTTGCGGAAAATATGTGAGCTCCCATCGCTGGTTCCAGCTCCTGCCAATCTAGCAGGTCAAAAGCAAGAAATTGCAAGTAGATAAATAGGTACCGCTTTGGTGGGAAGGTAACAGCGTTCCATGCGCCTCGGCATCTAGTCATGCCGGCCACATGACCACGGAAACATCTTCGGCCAATGCTGGCTCTTCGGCTTGGAAACGGAGATGAGCACCGCAATCCTAGAGTCAGATTTGACTGGCTTTCGAGCAAGGGAATTTTTTACCTTTACTTATGTATTTATCAGAGCCTAAGACACCAGACTTCTCAACTTGCCAAACAAAACTCAATAAAGAATTTACTATTTCATATTCAGGTGGCTACAAACCTGTTGAAGATAGGGCCATACTGACATAATGACTATAGAAAATCCTGCAGTGTAAAGAACAGAGGTTATTTTACATGGCTATTGTGAAATCATGTACTAGGATACAAATACTGTGTTCCACTACTGGCAGTGAAGTACTAAGCAGAGTTACACCCTTCGAAGCCTAGTGAAGTAAATAAATTTAAAAGAATGTCTAGGACTACACTGCAAATCTGCCACAGGTCCTCTTGGATTAAAGAAAAATATTTACAATCCTGAAATCATTTAAAATGGCATGCCCAATCTATTCAGGTTCATTACTAATGATGGCAGTAGCAGCAATCCTAAACAAGGTTACACAGAGCTAACTATATAACAAACAAGACTAGTGCTATACAATAACATAACTCCCACTTGCCAGTATGCCAACCCTAATTGGCTGTACATAAGCCTGAACAAAGACAGCATACATAAAATCACAGAGTATTGCTGTGATAAAGGAGCTGAGTAAGATTACTCACATGGATGCAATCTCACAGGGAATCTGCCGCCACAACCTAACATCAATGACCTTTTAATTCTCTCAAGGTAATCAGTACCTGAGGAATAACTCTGCCCTGTTCCACTTCAGTGTAATTCACAGTATCCTACAGAGTTACACCCCTCTAAGTCTATCAAAGTGAACAGGTTTAGAAGGGTGTAACTGTGGTTAGGATTGCACAGTAAGTATCTGAAAAAATAAGAATATTTTTACATCATGTCCCTTCTTACACCATTACCAATAAGAACACAACCAGACCAATAAGAAAAAAAAAGAACTGCAGCTGTAAGTAAAGTTATTCAAAGAGATAGGTTTGTGGAAAAATAATATTTTGAAAGCAGATGGAAAGGGCTTCCACTTCCCCAAGTTAAGCATAGTACAAGAGCTGGTTTACAAGTTACAGTAGATTTTCTGTGGCATTTGTTTCATGCCATGGCCATCACACAGAATAGCTTGTCCTTTTTTTGAGTATATATTCAACACAGACATCAAAATGATGTTACATTGGCTGAATATCTGTTTTTACAAACCAACACTGCTGAAGAACATTGTAAGGTACATTATTCGAATGGATCTCCACCGGCTATTATAATGTTGTAAAGTTTCCATGGTATCATCATGTGATCTATAATAAGAAAAAAATCCTTCATTTCTTCTCTCATAATAACAGTTAACAAGCATTTGAAAAAAATCTGATCGCAAAATAGCTTGCTAGGACACAATACAGCATTTCAAATTTACTTACTACATTTGTATTAATATAGTTACAATTTACGCTATCTGGAATGCCGCGGGGGAGTGAACAGAATAAAACGCTAACAAATAAACAGGTCCCCCCCCCCTCCTCTACACTAGTGGAATGTTAAACGCATTCCCATCATCGCTCCCTCCCCATTTTTTCTTCTCCTCCATCCTCAGCTTCAGAGTTTAAAGTCTCATCAAGACCTCCACATTATCCCTCCTTTATAAACCTGGGAAACGCACCACAACTCAATTCTAGCCAAGGTAACATAAGGAAATCTCTTGCGCATGCGCATCCCTCACCTGCCACTTTCACCGTTGGGGGTCAACAAAGGCGCTTCTAGATCCTCAACAGGATCGACAAGAGAGACCGCCATGATACTCTTCTGAATATCAGCGCAGTCACTAGAAAAGCCGATTCGCTCAACAAAAGCCTCTCATTTAGACAAGAACCAATCCGCGAGCACGACAGCATTCACACCTCCCGGCCTGAGGGTGACGACATGCGCGCGCGCAGAAGATACCCGGACCCTTTATTCTCTATCTCAATAGCTAGCGCACCACGTGAGCGACGGCTGACTAAAAGACGGAGGAGGAGGAGGAATAGTACTGGTCACGTGATCGATGGGGATGTTGCCTTGAAGCTCCTGATTGGTGAACGAGCGTTCCTTAGTTTTGAGGGAAAAAAGCCAGTGCTCTACTGCCTCTGGAGCCGAGAAAAAAAAAAGCGGAAGGCAGTGGTCTTCGCTGTTCGGTTCCTCCGCTCGTGGTCTGTGGCGGGACAGCGAAAGACACGCAGCGGAGCGCAGGGGTTGAAAAAAAAGGCAGAGCCTACGAGAGAGGCGCGCCTGGAGAAGCCTCTGGCGCCCGTCTCTTTTCTTTCATTCGCCTCGTAAGTCCTCTCGTTTCGCGGGGCGAGGTGGGTGGAGACTGAGATTGTCGCACCTTTGCCTGAGTGGGGTGAAACGTGCAGCCTGGCGCGTCTCCCTGGGGTGGGTGTCGGGCTCGGGGCGCCGAGAAGAGCCTGGCTACTCCTCTACGTCCGGTGGATACTTGCTAGGGAGTAAGTCCCTTTGAATTGGTCGTTTATTTTCCAGTAAATGCGAAGGGAGGGTTCCTGTGGCTTTTTGAAGTTGTGTCACCCTTCCGTGGAGCGAATTGGGCTGTAGCCCATGGGAAAGCTCATCGTAGTTTCTAGGGTGTCACAAGACTCCTGCTTGGTTTTGGACTAACACGGCTACATCTCTACGATGTAAAGAAGCGTGTTATGGCAACTGAATGACTAAACTTTATCCCAACATAAACTGTCGTGATCTAGAGCCCACCTGCGTCTGACGTAGTCGGCTTTACAACATGAAAGGAGTATACATTGGAATAACGCTGTTATCTCCTGTTTGTCACTTACTGTACCTAGTTCATATGCTTACCCCGCTTAGGCTGGTTATGCAGAGTTTTGGGCTGCACATGGGTTGCTTGGAGTCTGAAAATCCGATTTAACAAACCTTACAGTCTTATTCTTCTTCGAAAATTCTGATCTCTTAGGCATCCCCTAGTGTTTCTTGTCAGTTGCTTTCTCCTTGTCTTTTCAAAACAGGCTTCTATATACTTTGCCTTTCCTCTGAACAATTACCTGCACCTGTTGCAATTTACTTGTAGACTTGAGTGGCCCACATGTAGTGTTCCTGGTAATTGGTTCATGAGCCAGCAACACCCATCTCCTTAGCTGGGAAGCTCTGCTGTCTTGTGAAATCTACTGTAGATGGAGGGAGGGCTGTAACAAAAAGCTTGTGAGCCTCAGAAACTTGTTCACACATTATGATATTGGTAGACATTGGGAAGTTAAGCTATGATGAGATGATGACAGATAAAGAAACGTTTTCATACTTTTCTTGTGGTATAAAGGGTTACTTTTGTAAAGCACTGCTGTTTCATGAAACCCTATTGGTATTGCATATTTCAGAGTACCACAGTGGTCCATGGAATACTGAAACATGTTGACCCTGTTATTTTGAAATGTTGATTTGCCAATTCTGTGTATGATATGACTATCCCAGCCACATGATTCTTCACTGTTGTAAAGGGAAAGTGTTAGAATGCTGAACTGATTATGAAGTCTGAGTCTAGTGGCACCTTTAAGACCAACAAAGTCTTATTCAAGGTATAAGCGTTCACGTGTGCCACTGGACACATACTTTGTTCTGCTGCTTCAGACTAACGTGGCTACCCACTTGGATTACAGTGTCATTAGCTAAGAACATTCCAGGTTTGAAAGGAAGTTTATTTATGTGTTTTTTATGCCATTTAAGATTTTCTACTAGTATGTTTTTGGGGAGGGTGTCTAGAGGATGCTAAGGGGACAACTTGCAATACTTTTTTTTTTAAGCTTTCATGTTATTGGTATTGGTTAGATAGCATATTGTGTTTCCTAGTAGATAAGTTACAATTGGGAGTATATTACGTTAATGTTTGGAAATCTGGAGTTTGTATCCTAATACATCCTAATACAAATCCAGACCAAAAAAGAGAAATGGCTTTGAACATGTTATAGCTTCACAGAGATCATTAAGAATGGTTAAACATGTACTGAGAAACGTGTGTATATTTAGTATCTTATTATTTAATGAGAGTAGTTGTGTTCATTCTGTTCATAAATGATATGATGGGTCTTCCTGCTTTCAAAATACATGCAGTAAAGTCTCTTAACATAGATTTCCACCTTTTTTTGCATAAACTCTTATCTCATTGTCAGGAGAATGTTGTTGTCTTATAACAAGCCCTGTTCTTTATCACTGATTACGTGGCTGTATGTAACAAGCTGACCTTCATTATTGGTGCAATCCTAAAAATGCTTTTCTGGGAGTAAGCCCAATCAAATAGACTTGAGTAGGTTTCTGAATAGATCTGCTTAGGAGTGTTATCTTAAATTGCAATCCTAAACAGAAATAAATGAGTATAGCTGTGTTTAGAATTACGCTGTTAGTTACAGAAATGTATAGCGTGTCCAAAACATGACTGATGCATTTGACTCAAATTGTAACTATTGTGCTACTCATTTACAATTTTCCTACTCTAGAATTTCATGGAGATTGTTTTGATTTTTTGTTCCTTTATTCTGGGAGTATTACTTATGCTGACACCATGGTTTTTTAAACATGTCACTTGCTATTTTGCAAAACCCAGGGTTTCAAAGTTGAAGATAGTTTAGTAATCATAGTGGTGGTAGTTCCTATGTTCTCCTCTTAGTTATTTACTTCTTTTATACCCTGCCTTTCTCCTCAAAGCAGATTACACCATTCTTTTCTCCTCCATTTTATCCTCATTACAACCCTTGGGGTAGGCTAGATTAAGAGTATGTGACTGACTGAAGGTCCACCACCAAGGTTTCATGACAGTGTGGGGATTTGAACCTGGGTCTCCGACATCCTAATCTGCCACTCTAACCACTACAGTTTACTGGCTAGGAAACGAAACCTGAGTCCAAGGGAGTTATGATTTGACACATGCTTTTGGTGAACTATCTCCTCCTCCTCTGTTCGCCATCTTCCCAGCATGCTAGTACTAATATTTCTGTGATTTCAGCACTATCGTTGAACTTTACAAATGGAGGGTTTTTGTAAGTGAATCTGGAGCAAAGATGTTGCAGAGACTGAGGAGGCTATAACTGGCCAGTCATTTAAGGCACTGGTTCCCAACCTTTTTGAGAGTGAGGACCCGTTTTTAACATTAAAAAATTCCTCAGAGCTTCCACGTAATACTAATTGTACTGTTAGTTTCCGTTGATTGAGAAAAATACTTAATGACAAAAAGATCAAAATGTCAATGGTTAGTGCACATATGGATTTGTGGATCCCTTTGCAATAACCCAGTAGCCTCCTAGGAACCACTAATTTAAAGCATTTTGTGTTGCTGTGGCTTTTACTTTTATTTATTTTATTTATTTATTCAGGTATTTCTACCCCGCCCTACCCCGCGAACGGGCTCATAGTGTGAACTCTTGGGTCATGTTTACAGGGGAGCCAGAGTAGAATTAACTTGTGAGTTAGTTATTGTGTTATAATTTAAAACCTTTCACCATCTAGTTACAGTGTGCTAGTTCCTTGTTGATTTCTCATATAGTAGTATAAGTATTGTATAGCTGTCAAATTTCTGAAATATTCGGTAAAGACAAAAAAGTATAAGGAACAATGAGCAAGCTGAATGACTGTGATAAAAGACAAATTGCACTGATGCAATATAAACTAAGCAGTGGCATTATGGGAAAGGAGAGTGAAGTTTAACATTGTTTACTTTGCTAGATCAATCACAGTTTAACACAGCTGTGGTACGGAAACAGTCGTTTTACTGGAGTAAGAAGGAAAAACAGATGAAGATTTGTTTTCCTATACATTAAATTTCCTGTTCAACTTTAACTTCAGTTTGGGTAGAGGCATGGAAAAAATATACAAAAACTAAGACCACATTTTGATTGCCTCATATTGTTTATGTAAGAGGTTTCTTGTTATGCACAGTACTTATGAGCTTCCTACATTTGATTCTTGGAAACAAAACCTGATTTGTTAATGTTCTTGTGAGTGTATGTGGTTGACCAAATTATGGCTCGCCTAAAGTTTTTATGTGTTTTATGTTCTCATAAGGTTACCACCTTGTAAGTAGACATAGTAGAGGTAGGAAGCTTGTGAACCCTAGAAGACAATTTGCATTGCGATCCTGTGCAGAGGTAATCAGTGGGTTTCGTCTGGACTAACTGCACAGGGTTGTACGCTTGGTGTATGTCATGTGTTCTTGGAGTTTTGGTAAAAAATGTTGACTCTGTGCGACTGCAATAAAAAAGGCAAATGCTGTACTGGAGATTATTAGGTGCGGCCTCATATAAATCTATGGTGTGGCCTTATGTGAAATACTGTGTACATTTATTTTTTTATTATATTTATGTCCCGCACCTCACCTCAAAAGATATAGCATTAGAAAAGGTACAGAAAAGGATTACTAAAATGATTAAGGGAATGGAATACCTTCCTTAAGAAGGAAGGTTAAAGAGGTGAGGGCTCTTCAACTTGGAAAAGTGATAGTTGAGGGGTGACATGATAGTTACAAAATTGTTTATTCATATATATACACATACTTTGGATTTATGAATCACCCAATCCCTGAATACACAGGGTTCTGGGCAATTTACATCAATAAAAGAATACATAAATACATTATAATTACTAGTTAAAATAAAATATAATATTACAGACTTAAAATGAGGCCCCAGATGATGTTGATAGTTAACCTTTAAAAAGTTCTGGACCGTGCTGCCACCTCGCAAGTAGGATGGGGGGGGGGGAGAAAGGGGAGAGAAAGGAGAAAAAGAGGAGGGTGCCAGCCAAGAGGAGGGTGCGGGTGCCTGTTGCTGCTCTCAGACAAAAGCCTGGCAGAACATCTCTGCCTCGCAGGCCCTGCAGAATTGCATTAAGTCCCACAGTACCCTGATGTTATTTGGCAGAGAGTTCCACCAGGTTGGAGCCAGGGCCAAGAAGGCTCTGGTCGAGGACAGCTGGATGTCTTTAGGGCCAGGGATCACCAGTAGATTGTTCTCAGTAGAATGTAACACTCTTCAGGGAACATACCAGAGGAGGCAGTCCCAAAGATACATGGGTCCCAGACCACTCAAGGCCTTAAAGGTCAATACCAAGACCTTGAACCTGACTCGGTACTCCATTGGAAGCCAGTGCAGCTGGCACAGCACAGGTTGAATATGTGATGTCCATTAATAGGTATAGCTGAGTGTCATCAGTGTACTGATGGCACCCCAGCCTGAAATTCTATACCAGCTGGGCAAGAGGGCCCATATAGATGTTAAAACAGCACTGGGGAGAGGATTGTTAAGGGGTGCCTAGTTGACACCCT